CTACGAAGATAAAATCCCTCCGTTGTGGAAATTCTCACTGAAGTCCTAAATGGCTGTTAACCAAACTCCTCAAAATTGATAGGTTTGGGGGTAAAATTCCCAACCATATATTAATGTATGCTTAAAGTGAGGATCCAGATAAGTAATTGGACATATAACAAAACCCTATGAAAATGTTTCTGCTTGTTGATGGGTTTGTTTTTCCTAAAATGGATGATTGTCTGAAGCTCTGAGTGAGGAAATGGGCATGGGTCATCACCTTCAAAATAAAAATGGCTAGATGTTTCAGTAGCCCAGTGTAGAGTTTAACTTTAGACATCTGGGCTAAAATATTTGTTGGCCTTTAATGTGTTGAATTTTAAAACCCTTGCGGTTTAAAAAATGAAGCAGCATTGAATTATAAGTAACTCGCCTGAAGAGCTCTTCAGGACGGGGACCTGACATTGCCATCAGCTGTTTCAGTTATTTTAGGCAAACTAACTATATGAAAACTCTTGCTTTAAGACTTTTAAAGATTTCCAGATATTTTCCCTTGGAGAAATACAACTCAAGTAATACTTGTTGGGGACAGGTATAATGAGGAGTGTGTATCCCTTGACCCCTCTTACTCTTCCCTTACTTTTGACCCCAACTAAGCAGCTGAAGTGCATCAAGCACCCCTGTTCCTGTGGCTGTGATATAGTAGTGCTTTTGGCCTGCTTATCTACATCTAAGTGTTACTAATTAACTTGGGGAGCTTGGGCCAAAGACCACCTATAGGTCAAAGGCACCTATACACAAGCTGCCTGTAGTAATTAGGAAAAAAAATCCAGCCAACGGAAATTTTTACAACTTACAGCATTGGACTTATGTTTTCTAATTACAGATGACCTTAATGTAAGCGGTATCATCACTGCTGTAGTATTTGTGGCTCTGGTAATGGCATTGTGTGGCCTCGGAGTATTTTATGCCCACAAAAAGGGCTACTTTACAAGTAAGTAAAATGAAATCATTCCTCCTTTGTGTCAAAAAAACTGTCCGTACTTCTGCTGACTGTAACATCTCTTTTTCATGAAGGCTCTAACTCCATGGTACTAAAGCTAAAGAGCGTTACAACAGGAACTTTTCTTGTGCGTTTTTATTCTGCCAACTTCTACCGCAAAAGACACAAGAACTGTGTGCAGTTGCATAAGGCTCGCAAACAGCAATCTAGGGAACGCACCGAGCCAAACCCTGGTTCCCAGAGCCTCTCCGCTCTGGTTTTCGGAGTGAATGGCAAAGAAAGGCAGCAGCAAAGCATTAATCTAAAAGGTCTGAGTGGCTGAGTTCTGATGAAGGGCAAATTAAATTCACTGGCTCCCTCGTCTGGGTCCTGGTGAAAATGCACGTGGAGCAAGTTTGCTTTTAAGGATTGCTTCAAAAAGCTGGACACTGAGCAGCAGCGGTCACATCAGTGCCTGTGGAGTGCCGCACAGCAAGAAGGGATCCCAAATGCTGGGGTCAGAGAAGGGCCGCTGCCTGAGAGTAACAGGCTAGCGGAGCTGCTGGTAGAGTTCACTTTGAAAGCAACCTCACCTTTTTCTCTTTAAACTCACTACACCAAAAAGAGTTATCTGGGTCAGAAACTCCTTCTAGAAACTGAAGAGCTGAATAAGCTATGAATTAACTATTTCAGAGAACTTCAAATCAGCTAAAGAAACTGGTTTTGTCCTAATTCTTTTTTTTTTTCTTTTTCAGAGGAAAGCTCTTCCCAGTAAGTATCTTGATGCAAGTAGTACACAAATCACCACCGATTTCATTTACATTTCTCATGGTTTAGTCACTGTAATGATTGTTTAATGCCTTTCTCACATGATTCTTATATAGTGGCTTTTATGAACACTGAAATAAACCTGATCCTCTACACCAGCTGGTTCCCTTATTAGAAGCAGTGTGCTGGCTGGAAAATGAATTAGTGTTATTACTGTGATAAACATGCAGAGATGTGGCTTTTTACATAGTTGGGCTTTCCACCCCTAACTCAGCTACAGGCGTGCATTTGTCTCCTCTTCAAACTAGAAAAAAGATTATCAGAACCAAATTGAACTGTCCTCATATCCATGTCTGCAGATTATTTTGGGAAATGTTTTATAAAAATATGACTGGTGGAAACTTTCTGAGGGTGTCTGGTCTCCTCCTTTGATATGGATTTATTTCATGCACTTAAATTTCTTAGCAGCAAGTCAGAATTCCTCAAGCTACTTTAGTGCTCCCACACAAGGCTAAAATTGTATGCTTCATTAGAGGCTGGCCTCCATTTTTTTTTCTTTTAAAAGTTTATCTTGGCACTTTTAGGTAATAGCAGGTTAAAAAAAGAGTAATGTACTAAAGAGAAATACAGTCTTTTAAAGTAATATTTGTAACTTATACTGGCCATGAACTAGGCAAAAAGCATAACTGGAAGACTTGAAAAGACAAGCTAGGAAGGTAATTTGACAGTGGTTCATGAGATAATGACAGTTATCTAAAAGCATTCAATGGATTTGTTATTGTAGCTTTTTCATAAGGGGGGGAACCCTAAGGATTGCTGGAAATCTGGAAAAATATATTCATAAATAAGGTTCTCAAAGGGTTAAAACTAACACCAGAAAAGTCACTATTTAACCTATGTTCCTCTCCTGTTCTATGAACAGAAAGAAGACCAACTATCAATCTACGAGTGAAAAGGCAAGTATTTAGCATTCAGTAGCACGTTTAAGGTTTTAGATGTCTTCAAAACCTCTGAAATCTGTGATGTTTTTGTATACATACAGACCCACACACAGCCCTGCCAAATTGTACACGCCACCAGTGCCTGGAGATACCTTCTCTCTGCATTTATAGCTTCCCACTACTCAGCCTCAAGAGCCACACAACTACAGCACCTTGCTCCATGCTTTGCCATCTTTTTCTTTACCACACTAACTGCATTTTTACCTGGTTGTCTTTTGTCTAGTTCTTCTTACATTCCCCTGTTCTATTAGCTTCTTTCATTCTTTTTCTTTCCCATTTTCCTGATGATTTTCCCTCTATCGGATAAACTAAAGCGGTAACACCCTTACACTCTTTGGCGATACCATCTAATGATACTGTTTCTTGTGAAGACTTCCACTCATTTGTGGAATCCGCTTCCATTTGCTTGTATGTATTGGTTAACCAAGGAAACTAACTCACAGTCCTAAGGCAGCAGCGAGAGAAAGATTGGGCCTTAAAATTCCTCTAAAATTAATGTGGGTCAAAAGGCTTGACTGAATATGGAAGCTAAATTTACTACTTCCCCCCTCCCCCTCCTCCTCATTGAGAGGCCACAAGGGCTTTAACTGCATGTACATTGTTCCAGCTTTTCAGATTGGTGCAAAAAGAAGGGAGCTCTAAAACTTCAAGTAGGAGCAACTTAATTTCACTGTCTATAGTTTAAGGCTACATACATTAGTAGCCTTAAAAGCTCACTGAATGCTGCCCATTTCTTTAATCAAAACAGAACATACTAAATAGCATAAGCTTATTCCATCACCTAGTATGTATACAAGAAACTTACTGAGGCCAACTACCTGGTTGCTCTGAGTGGGAAGGAGCAAACTTGAAAGAGCTGTGGTATCTTGTTTATCAAAATTAATGCACTTATGAATCAGATGCTCAACAGAGCTGTTTGATACTTGTATTTTTTAATAGGTTATTACTTCTGTTCTGTGTAGCAGTGCATTCTGTAGACTTCCCTTTCCAGAAAAGAGTAAATGTTAACAGTGCTTCAGGCATGCCTCTTTTCAGGTTCAATGCCTTAGTTTCTTCTGAAATGTACATTAAATGTTAATCTGGTTAAAATCTGTGAATCGTTACTTATGTAACCTTGTTTGCTTTGTTTAGGATTTCAAGCATACCAAGTCCTTTGTTATTTAGAAGATTTCAGCCTCTGTGAGGGACATCAAATGACTACTTGTTATACAAAAGTATCAAAGGGATCTTTTGACCTCTACTCTGTAAATATTGTTTCCATGTGCTACATGCTGAAAATAGAAACTGCCAGTGTCTACATCTAGTCAACCTGTCTGTGATTGCTTTTTAAAAAAACAAAACTCCAAAAAACTTAACTTAAAGATAGAACTAAACTGAATATCCAAGTCAATTTGTGTGAAGACTTCTCATTTTGTTCACGTATACACGCAGCAATACAGGATTCACTCTTACAGCTTGGAACATTCTATTCAAGTAACTTTCATAGATGACCTTGCTACCACTACTTCTTCTACTTACATCTCTGCCATTGTCAGGGGCTCAAATGTTCCTGCAATTCTGACATATCAGTACCTCAACATTGTGGTAGATTTGCCAAAGCCATCTGTAAATGTCTAAGTGGTTGTGCAGACTTAAACTCACTATCCTGACAGAGTAAAGCTTCCTGTAATTGAGGCTAGAGCAGTCTTTTATTGTCTAACATAAAATGCCTACAGCTTATCTTCCATAAGGAGGTGTATCTCTCTGTAGACCCCATATGTAATTTTATTCCGAAGAAAAATCATGTCAGTATAACTCAAGCTGTAGAATCTGTTGAAGTGTCATAAATAAATAGTTCTTCAGAACCTGAAGTGTTCGTGTCAATAGCGCAGTTACTGAAATTTGAATCTCACAGCCTCATTAACAAGTTTCAGTTGCTTCTGTAAGAGTAACACTTCGTCTCTTGTGTGTCCATTGTTGCAGGGTACAAATGAGTATATGTGTGCCTATGCTTTTGGCTGTGTAAGTCCATCACTACCATAGGGCTTTGCTACAGATTTAGTGTTAATTTTTTTCTGCAGAAGCTTTTTGGATGTGACAAGCTCAGAAAAACAAGTAGTTTCTTCTTCATGTATAGTTATTGGTGTTATAACTTCTCAGCCCTAAAATGTAGCTTGGCAAAGAAATTTTGCAGTTAATGTTTAGAAACACTACTCGTATGCCTCAGTCACTTAAAGAGCTGACATCCATAGCTAACTATGCTCACCATACAGTTAAGAACTTCTTCACGCTTCTGAAATCAAACTGAAACACTGCGTTTATTAAATTACAACTGGTGCCATGTTCAGCAACTCCATTGACGTACACCGCTGTTTGGTGTAGAGCCTGTAGAGATCACTTTGGAGTCTCCTCAAAGTTGGGCTCTAAAGGAGGAAGGGGAGAGAGAGAGAGAGAGAACTCATATTAGTCTCTTTTTATTCCAGCCTCAACCACCACAATTCATCTGTTATTCAAAGAAAATCAAACATTAACTTGGCAAGCTCTTGTACATTGCAGTCTACGCCACCACTTTGTTTGTATCAGGGTATGATCAGCTGTGGGCAGCACCAAAGACTAAACCACACTGCTGACAGGTCTGTTGCACCTTAGAGGCATTAATGCAGAAGGTTTAAGACAGACATGCACCTTAGTAACATTCTGCCAAAACAGCTTTTAGCAACACCTGATGTAGGGGAGAATGCAGCAGAGAAACTGAAGAAGTCAACCAGAATGTTACTGGACATGACACCAGTATTTCCAACACAGCTTTGATATAAGTAGTAGTTAACCAAACTCTTCTTGCCTCTTGTGTAGTGCCTTGTAGCTGATTAACAGAAGGGAGTGCACAATTTCAAGCCCACTCAGCAAAAGATACTCTCCACATACCAACACTGAGGAAGGAGTTCTCAGTGTCAAAGGCACAAACTCAGAAGGGTCAGGGCTTTTGACGGGAGGGCTATTAATGCCTGTTATCCTTGCTACAAAGAGTCTGAGAGTTAAAGCTCAGCTTATACTAATCTTCACTAAGACAAAAAATTAAGTTCCTACCCATCTAGCCACTTAGGTTTGAAGATTTGTTGAAATTGGATTAAGGATAGGCAACTGCGGTAAAAGAAAAACCCCTCTTCTGTTCCTATGGTCACACAAACTTTGTTTCATTACCAAAAAAAAAAAATCCTAAACTTTAAATATGTATTGTTTCACATATTACACAGAAGTAAAACTGAATATAAAGAAACCACATCCCTAAAACGGGAGGGGGGGAACCCCAACACTGTCAATCCTACTTTAGAGATGCTGTTTTATTTGCACCACTAACAGTCTGACACTAAATTCTTCCTTAATCCAACTGAAATATCACCAAAAACCCAAAACATTTTTAGGTGTGTTCCTAGTCTAAATTAGCATTTCCAGTTAGCCCAATCAGAATTACGTCACTGACTACGGTGGCCTCACCTCGGCCAGCTGTCAGATGCCCACAAAGCCTCATGCTCTCTCACTCCTTCCCTCCCTCCCTCCCCTGGAGGGTTGAAAATAGAGACAGCGGTTTTCACCTTTTTTTAAAATATGTTGTCACAGAAGCAATCCCAGCATCGCTGACTGCCTCAGCTGTGTCCTGCAGTGGGTCCCTTTTGAAGCCAGATGGAATTGGCTCTGTCCGATGTGTGGACACCCCCTGGCCTCTCCTGGTAAGAGGCCACCCCTGCACCCCCCCACTACCAAAACCTTGCCATGTAAACCAAATACACTGGCACATTCAAAAGACTGCTGAATCCCGACTACCAGCTGCTTACAGCTTATGAGAAAGACAGCTTACCCCCTGCAAAACCTGACTTTAGCTAAAACTGCTTCTGAGCAATGAAGACTTTGAGCTGTACTTACATAAGCAAACAAAAGAAACAACTACAGAAATGAGACTGTCCATAAAAAAAAATTAGGTTGCCTTTACATCCTAAGGCAGGCAGAGTCTGCGCAGTTTCTCTGCATTCTTGATAAACCAATCATCACAAGCATTCTTCTTGTCATAATCAATCTGGGTAATACGAAAACATGCTAACACAAACTTAGAGCAGTTAAACAGAAGCCTTATCCAAAAAACTGAAGAAAAGAGTTTAACATCTTAGTCATGAAATAATCATAACTAACAAAGTTAAGTTCTGTGTTCATTTTCTGAAATCACCAACTTTCCAGATGAACTTACAAAATTTACAAATAGCAGTTTGGATGACAGACAACTGGCTTTCAAATTATAGTCTGCTGACCTCTTTGAAAGGATGAGAAAAAAAAAACACCAAAACAATAAGCCCTGGGACATTTCTATTTCTATTTGGGCTATTTCTTTAGGGTCTGTGAAGGGTAATTAAGATGTCTGATCTGACTGCAAGTTTTGTTAAGCATCAGTGTAAGTCCACAGCTCTACTGGAAAAGGCAAATAATCAAAAGAAGAAGTCAGATGGAATCAGATGTGAACTGTGTGAAAGTAAGGAGATTCACTAAGGGCATCTTGCATTAAATTAATGATCCAAATAAAAACTAAATGCGAATTAAGAAAACTGGTCAGTGAATTCAGTAAGATTATTAACTCACCCTCAAATTTAAATTCTGGAAACTTGGTTAGATCTCCTTCACCATACGCCCGTTGAAGTCTAGCAAGGGATTCATTCATGTCTTTCTGAAATTCAGGGCCTGCATCAATAGGCCCTCCAGATTGCCTAAAAAAACATTACAAGTTCTGATTAACAGTTCCATTCTGAAATTTCATGTGGAAGTTCTACACTTTCATGACCGTTTACGAATTGAAAACCTTTCTGACAACCAACTAAAGCAAATCATTTAAAATATTTCCAAAAGTCGAGATATGACACACCTTAGGGCCTACTTACCTTATGCATAAACAAGCTTCTCAGGGTAAAGAACAGGCTTTCTACGACCAACGATGAAAATCCAAGCTACAAAGGTAGCCTTTTGAGACATAAAACTACACTGAATATCCAGGCTTTCAGGGCTCTTACTTTCACTTGTTCCATGTGTGATTCCCTAAGAAAATTGTGATTTGTACCTCTGCTATTTCTCAATTAGTGATCTTGGTTAGTAAACTTAACTGTTCTTGCAAAGAGAACATGTTTTGAATACTAAACAAGCAAAAAAGCCAAGAGACAGGGAACCCTGCATTCATATAGATTCAGACAGGAATTTCTTGGGATACAAACATAAAATAATTAAAATGGTAACTCTTTAGATTACCAATTTGTACCAATACAGATATCACTTATGATTGGTAAAGCCACCAAAAATATGCCTCCCTACACAGGCTAGTTTGTAGGTGTGGAAACACACACATGCCTCCAGAACTAAGTAGTGGTTTATTTCCTTCCCAAGAATAAATTACACAGAATCAGTATAGTTTTAGTTTCCTGTTAAGTATTTCATTTAAACATTACAAGACTCTAAGATCTCATTTGAATGAACTGCTTATTAACCTAAGATGTTTCATGAATTAGCCTCACAGTTCCGTTAATTCTCAATTGCTTTTGGAGGCTACTTCCATTCAGCTTCTGGAAACAAGACTGAAGAATAGGCGTTTTCCCTAGACAGAAAAAAAAAAAAAGGGAGGGGGCTTTTTTTTATTTTTTCCTGTTTACAGAGCACACAGATGGGTAAAAATTAACATACTAGTATGTTCACATACTGTGCAAAACCACTTAATCGAGTGCCTTAACTTCCCAAGAAGAATGACATCAGCTTTACTACTTTTTTTTTTTTTTTAAGGGGAAATAATGGACATTTTCTGTCAGGTACGCGAAAACAAGCCTTCTCACTTGTGACACTATCAAGAAGTATTGCAGGAAACCATACCTTAAGTATTTAGAGACCAACTTAAAAAGCTACCATATTTTAGCATTTGTTAAAAACAACATTTTTTACTCCTTTTGCCATCAGCCTTTACTTACTTGCTCTTTGTGTTGTATTCTCTGATCTTGTCCAAGAAGAGCTTCTGAACCGGGTCAAGCTCCTTTGTCTTATTAAAGACAATAGCAGAAAGCCCTATGTTTCTGCGCAAGTGAATGGAAACAGCAGAGCGAAAAATGGAAGAAAGTCGTAGAATCTGATGCAGAATCATGATGACACTTACACTTTAGCTAAAAAAAAAAAAAAAGCCAAAATATAAACACCGAATTAGTGAGCTCTTCCCACAATGTAAACGCATGAAAAAGTAAAAAATTCAGTTCAGAGCTGAGCTTTAAACCAGACAGAACATTTAAACCGGGATGCAATCTGGGGCGGCACCTCGAGCGGCCAGTGAAGCCAAAGAGCCCTACGCCACTGGGCACGCTGCTACACCTCCCGTTCAACTGCCCACCGCGACCGACTTCGCTCTCACCACCACCGAGATAAACCGGGAATTTCAGGTTTTGTCTTGTTTAAAG